CAGACTGTATTTCACATAAGAAAAGGCATTAAATGCTAAAGATCTGTTGAAATGAAAGTGTAGTACAGAAGTGAAAAGTGCATTTAAGACAATCGGAAGAAAATCCTTGAAAAGGGGGACACCCGGGAGGACAGATTTCGCGGGGGACAAATCTTTATATGTGGAATTGTCCCCCTTATGGGGGGACATCTGGCAACCCTGGAGCTCAGAAACATCTCATTTTGTCCAGAAATCTTTGCTCTATTCGATTAAACTAATGGTAAAAAGTTCAATCATACAGTAAATATAGAAGGGATAAATTTATTATTGGTCCATCCCGTACAACAATTTGTTTATAAAATCTTTTTTTTTTCTAGATAAAATTGTACCATTACCATCCGTTGTTTGTGTTGATCAATCAACTAATCTAATTAATGATTTTTATAATCAAAATAAATTTAAAAAAGTTGAAGAACGTTTAAAATATACGTTTAAAAATAAAGCATATCTTGTTGCAGCATTAACTCATCCATCAAATTTTGCCAATAAATTAACTGTTTGTTATGAACGGTATAAAAAATAATCAATTATTCATTTTAGAAATAAAATTATATTAATTTTTACTATATTTTAGATTAGAATTTTTAGGTGATGCTGTTCTTGATTATTTAGTAACACGAGAAATATTCATAAAAAATGAAAATATTACGCCAAGTAAAATGATAATTTGTGTATCTTGATAATTATTTATTTATTTAATTTTTTTTTTAAGGTCTTGTTACGAATATTCGTGAAGATCTAGCTAATAATGGACGTTTAGCGTATATATTTGTTGCTCTTGATCTTCAGTCATCTATTTTACATCATTCACCTTCATTATTTGCAGAAATATCATCGTATGTTTCACAATTTGAACAAAATGAATCATTGGATAAACGTCTAAATAATGTACGATTATTTGAGTTTTTATTCTAGAAAAATTTGTGTATGTTTGAAATTTTTAGAATATTTCATCGTATGCTGATAGTACAGCTCCAAAAGCCTTAGCTGATGTTTTCGAAGCGATTGTTGGTGCCATATTTTTTGATTCGGGGAATTCTTTACAAACCGTATGGAATGTATTTGAACCATTTTTCAGAAATTACATTGGTACGAATGGATTTATGCTCATAGTATGTGTATTTATCTAACTGGTATTTTTTTATTTATCAGAGCGATCTATGAATAGTCCAAATTTGAATCCAATACAATATATTAACCAACATGGAGGAAAAGTGATCAGGTACATATTCCATTTTCTAATTTTGTTATCTCATTTTAATATTACTCGTGTGTGTGTGTGTGTTCTAGTGAATATCACGATGAACAAAAGGGTTCTGTGTGTATTGTTGAAGTTCTTAATGGTAAAAGATATGAAGGTACTGGAAAAAGTAAAAGACTAGCAAAATCGGATGCGTGTCGAAAAGCAGTAATAGAAATGACAAATGAATAACATTAATAACAATGATTGTAACAATTTTTTGTTTTAATTTGAAAATGATTATCTACTTTTTTTAACCGTCATAGTGAAAATGATAACTGAAAGGAGGTTTATGAAAAAAACTCTAGTACAAAAAAATTCTTTACTATTTCTTTGGAAATCACAACGATTTATCAAATGAAAAATATATAGTTGCTCTCATCACACCAAATAACTTAAGTTAATTTTTTCCCTGGTATAAGATCGTCCACGAACTACATTACTACTCTATCTGTTCCTTGTGCTGGTAACAGTTATAGTGTCATAGAAAAACTGTTTCCAGCAAAAGCAAGAATGACGATTTCTTTGACAAAACGCTGTCAGCACTCAAAAATAAAAAGATTTTCTTTCATCTCATAGGAGATCAATACTTCGATGAATTGTTTACTAGATATAGGCGTGTTGATCTAGGCTAATTCCTTAACAAACAGTTTGATTTAGCTGGAAGTTTTCAAGAGATCAAGGTCTAAAAAGACCCTGAAGATTTTTTAATATACTTCAAGCTAGAAAGTCTGAATTTGTTTTATTTTAAACTAGACACGACCACGTGAGGTGGCGAGCGCCCGTTTTTCGATTAAGCCTTTGTTGGTTTTATAGACAACCAACAATCTCAGAAACTTGAAAAACGCTTTCCGGTTTTCTTAAATCCTTAATTTGACAGAAAACTACGACCGAATTTAAAAATCGACGCCGATCAGCTCATGTAGTTAAGTGTCTAGTTTAAAATACAACAAATTCGAACGCTCTAGCTTGAAGTATATTAAAAAATCTGGGGAAATACTTCAGATGTAATTCTCATGTAGAGAAAACGCTGTATAAAATGCTTAATTTTAAGATTTGTAGGAAAATGCCTGTAACTTTTTGATGCAAGGCCATACAGAGTTATGCGCTGTCTTATTTAGATCAGAAAAGTTTGCTCTACAAATCTACGCATCGAGAAAAAAATTAATTTCATAAATTCAGGTAAAAACTATTATTTGAAGACCCAGTTTTTCAAGGCTTCTAGAAAACTTGTTCAAAAGTCGCGAAATATCACTTTTGTAATCAAAAGCGATATAGATTCTGAAAGTAAACATTTCACACTATCTTTTCGTGTGCTTATCTCAAAATCGATTCGTTTGTCGAAAATCGAATCATCATTTCTGAGGCGGAGGGGGCCTTAAACGTTTTTAACATTGTTCTGTTCGACAGGCACATCAGAGTGATTTCATCTCGAGTACAAATAGGTGTTCTATAAAACTGGGAACTTTTTATTATCCCAAAATAAAGAAAATTTTATCAAGGATAACGCGGCAGAGCTAAAACATCAATGGCACAAAAGTCATACAGGAAACATTTTTAACTAATTATTTTTGAAATGAAAAATTTTGAAAAAACATTTAGTAGTATTGATTATGAAATTAAAAATGTTGGCTTTCTTAAATTTGAAACAACGTGGATCGATGCTAAAATCTTTTTAAAAGATCATTGGATAGAGCTTACGAGGATATCTATGGAAATGATCCCTTCTGTTTTCAGTGATTTATACATCAATCGATAGAGTTTATCGAGGTAGTAAAAAGCCTAACGGAATTTCGGCCGATGACTCATCCTTCAAAAGTTAAAGCCATTGTATTGTGAACCGCATTGTGTCACTAATATATACCCTGAAAAAATCATGGTTCCATCTCTTGTAGTTTCTGGAAAATCAAGAATTTACGTTTTTTTCTAAGGTAAGTTTTCGAATTTCGCTGTTCTGGAAGAATATCGTATATATACCAGGAAGGTAGAGTACACGAAGGGTAAAAAGTTGAATTTATAGGTTTTCACACATGCTCTACACAATGAAACTGGTTTGAAAAAGTCCGAGATGGTCATTAAGCATACCCATTGTGGGAAGTAGACATTTTTCTCACGCAATCACTCCTAAGCAGAGAAAATCCTTGAAACGCATGAAGAAAAACATTTCTATGTTTGTTGTAATTTGTTCTTTATTTGAAACATTATCTAAAGGAAAATACGATGGACTTCTTTGGGAGCAATAACAGAGGCCTCGAACGATATATTTAGTGTTAAAACAAAAAGGCTAAGAGCTAGTAGTTCTCCTTCATCTTGCTAAACCTACTCTAACATTTTGAGCTAAGATTTTGTCTCTTCTTCATACCTAGCTCCATGGGAACGCTCCGGAAAGAAAAAGGACTACAGATATCTAGTTTAGTTTAATCTATACTTATTAGTTAGCTAAAACAGATGTCACAGATAAGCTACAGATAACCCATGTCGCACTTTTTTTCGTAACACTGCCGGTTACCGACCGGTCTATAGATTACTACTGGTTAACCGTACCGTTCGGTATAACTACCGGCTTAGCGATAGTTTTTTCTTCTACGGACGGTTACCGCGGTACAAGAAAAAACCGTCGGTAAACCGTTTGGACACATTCACCTATTTGTTTTGCGGTTGACAGTATATATAAGAAACGCAGAAAAGTGAAAAAGCTTTGATTTTTTTCAGAACTTTCTCTTTCAGACTATAGAAACTCGTCGAAGTTTGCACTTCGACTTGAGTCAAGCTTTTCCCGTTCGGGTACTTCATTGCGCTGTATGCGC